CCCTAAAGGAAAACCCTCCAAAAAAAAAAAAAAGAGGTGAGGCCTCCAGAGGTGCCCAGGTCATGTGGCAGCCTCAGGAACAGCCCTCCTCCGGGACAGGCCACCACGGCGAGAGCCGCAAGTGGGCTGGGACCTCCACCTTGAACTTTCCTGCCCAGAGCCGGGAGAAAGAGCTGTCTGCTGTGTGTCAGAAGCTCTGTGGGGCCTGAGTGGACTCAGACACGCACGCTGCCAAGTCCAGCCTGGTAAACGGCCATCCCAGAAGCAGGGCAGGCCGGGCCGCAGGGCAGTAGAGCAGTGCTGCACAGAGGGAGTGGGCCCCACATGGCTGACCGCGGTTCAGATCCCAGCCCCGGTGGCTTGAAAGACACTGGGCACACACACACGGGCCAGGATCCTGACGGGGGAGAAATGGAGAAAAAGGCATGTGGCATGAGCAGGCCCTGACGGGAACTGTGCTGTCCCCTCGTGTGCCCTCGTGCAAGTCCAGCGGCGAGAAGCCCCGAAGTGCACGTCGTGATGTGGGGAGGAGTGTCCCAGTGACCACACTGCAAGTCACCCGAGCACTGCCTTGTGGCCTGGGGCCCGTCAAAGTGGGCCACACGGGGCTGAAAAGGAGACCGAAGTACTCCTCCCTCCCTGTCGACACCCAAGGCCACGGTGCTTCGAACACCCACTCGGGACGCACCACGCCGGGACGCACAGGTCGGGCCAGGGCGTTTCTGGCAACTGAGTGTAATGTCACGCCCGCTGCTGCACGGCCATGTGTGCTGCCAAAAGCCACATCCCCTGAAAAGCCGGTGCCACTGGGGACTTGTTTCTAACCGTGCCAACGACAGGAGAGGAGGGTGCCCAGGGGGCCTGGCCCCGGCAGCCCCTTGTCTCCGCGTCACAGGGTGTGGGGCACACGGGCCTAGCTTGTTTCTCAGGCCACCAGGTCTGGGGCTCGAACCGCACAGCTGACCACGAGGACTCCCTTAGCCACTAGGCCTCGGGGCTGGCCACGGCGATGTGTTCTAAAGCACGTGAATACACTGATCTCCGCCAGCAGTGCTTTCTTGCGACACTCAGGTGGGGGCAGCGAGCTGGGCTCTCTTCATCCCGCGCAGCTGAGGCTGAGCCATGCGTCCCGCCCAGCATGCTCAGGAGGCGGCTCTGCCCCCACAGGCGGCCCTGCCATGCGCTCCTGTTGCCAGAACCCACTGGTGTCTCGTCTCGCCCATGCTGAGGTCCCGGTGGCTTCCAGTTATGCCCTGGGCCGCGGTCATCCCTATGGGACAACAGAGGCCCCCGGCTGCCTGTGAGAAGGGCGCTCTCCAGGCCCGTCACAATCAGACAGAGGAGGGGCCTGCAGCCACTTTCCCCGCCACCCGCACTGGGCAGTTCCCACCAAGAAGCGCCGTCTGGCTGGACTGTCTGCCCTCGCTCCTGGTCTCTGGCTTGTCTCGGCCTGGTGGCAGCACTTGTGCATCATTTCCGCATCCCAGTCCAGGCAGACCAGAGGCACAGGACAGGCAGAGGCTTTGGGTGGAGGGTCTGTGAGTGCCAGGCCCCTGTGTCTTTTCACACTCAGAGACACGCTGCTTTTAACTCTCAGAGCTTCAACAGAGGGACAGGGAGAGATCTGTCCACTCTACCCTTCCTGGAACCAGCAGTCACCGACTTTTACGATGTAGAGGGACCCAAAGCAACCAGCTGGCACTGCTGTGCCCTCGCGGGCCTCGCGCCAGGGAGTGGCTTGTGCAGTCCAGGGCCTCCTGACACGCAGTCTGCCTGAGCCCGGCTGAGACAGAGCACTCCAAGCTGAACATGGGTCCCATCGAGGACAGGAGTAGGCGCTCTGCCTGTCAGTCACTGTCCCAGCTCCATTTCAGGCGGATGGGCCACGGAGGGTCCACCGTCAGAGCCAGCTCCCTGTTTCCTGTGGGCACAGAACCCGAGACTCGCTCACACCTGCTGTCCGCACGGCCCAGCGAAAGTGGTGAGTCAGGGCCCTCTGGCCCATGACTCCTGGACCTCCTGTGCCCAGCCCGCTCACCCCCTCACCCCTGGCTCTGGGAGGGTGACGTGAGCACCGAGTGGCACGCAGCCCTGGCAGTGTAGCGTGCGGGGGAGTGTGACTCACGTGATTGGCGAATATCCGCAGGTCAAGCGCCACGGCGTACATGACTGGCAGGGGCCCGCAAGCACAACGAGCCACCGAGGGGT